TGTGTGTGTGTGTGTGTGTGTGTGTGTGTGTGTGTGTGTGTGTGTGTGTGTGTGTGCGTATGTACATCCATGCAGAAGTTAGAACATATCTACCTATTAGAAATATCTACCTAATTTGTCTTGCTAGAACTAAAGTGTTTAGAAGTGATGGTAACTCGAGATTACAAAAGTTTTATGAATTTGATTTATTTTATTTGATATCAAAGTATTGCCGATAATATAAAGATTTGCATTTACGAGGAAGATGTAAGGAATCTTAGATGTAACATAACAATTTTTACAACAAATGAGATATAAGCAAGAAATCCAATATACCATAAATCATAAGTAACAAAGAAATGAAAATTTTATGAAAATATCGATTCTATATAGGGAATACGAGTTCTTTTTGAAGACCCCTATGGGAGCCGTAAAGATTGGAACACAAAGACAACACGCGAGACTTCAACCAGATTGAAAGTGTAATTTTACATGACCAACCAATTTAAATATATATTCTTTTGTTCTCGCATTCTTTTTCTAGATATAAAATAGTAAATGGTGAATATTATATATTTATTTATATATTTACACTTATAACTATATTATAAAATAAAATTAATAAGAAACGAATACTGTTTTATTAGCATTGAGACGTAATAATAATTGTATTAAAATCTCAATATTTACAGGAAACTAGATAATATCGAGTAATATTTGGTATGGAAATTTGATTTCAAATTCGAGATTGCTGATATTCCCTGCGGGATGTAAATTTTGAAATGACTTGTTTAATCGTTATTAAGAGAAGTTAGTTTATAGATTGTAAACCTCTCTACCAGGGCAAGTCAAAGCATTCAAAAGCATATGGTAGTGGACACAAAGTTTCCGTTTAATTCTGTCGTTTGAGAGTGAAGTCACTCGAAGCAAAGCAAGCTATGAAACACTCGCTTCGTCGCCATTGGTTATATTGGATTGGAAAATCAGCACATGCAAGTGACAGTCCAAGAGAATGTTCGTGCAGAAGCATAAAAGCAAGTCTAAAGTTGTTTAGGCGTTTGCTTTATCGAAGGATTGAAACAGTTGCCATGGGAAATAAAACATTTCCCAGTACTATCGTAACGCTCTCGAAATGAAACAAAGAAGACGATAACTCTTTATTTTGTTTGAGATAGTATCGATAGTGAGTTTTACTGCTACTATAGGGAAATGTTCTAATATTAGAAATAATATATTTCATAGACAATATCGTGTCAAGCATGACTCTACATATTATGATAGGTATATCGATAGATTACAATATATATGTAAGCGATAAACGTCAAATATATTGATTTTTTGAACAAGTGGAAATTCGTCAATCATCTTTTAAAAATTTTAATTTAAATGACTGATTTAATTTATTTAATCTATACCTAATATATTTAGAAAATAAAATTATTCAATTTGCTAAAAATATATTCACATTAAGTAAGTTTTAAACTTCATATTAGTTGAATATCGCAGTAAATAGTGCAATGATGGTATCACATGATTCCATAATTTTCCATTTCTTTTCGCGCTTTCCCTTAATTAACGTTTGTGAAACTTATTATCTTCTGAAACTTTATTATCTTCTCATTTAGATTCTTCTTTGATTCCAATAAATTATGGTATTTACTTTTTTATAATTTTTTATAATTTATTTCCTATAATTATTTTAGCATTTAAGATATTTTTTTATAATATGATATTATATGTTTTAAATTGTTGGTTATATTAAGTACTGTAAAGTCCCTCTTCTAAATGATGAACGAGACTTATAGACATACTGATATGTCACATACATTTTTTCAAAGAACTTCTTCAAAGAAACCATTATAAAAGAGATTTCAGATTTGTTCTGTATTCTGTATATCATTTTTTTTTATTATAATAATGCGTTTACAGAATATAAAATTAAAAAAATCCTTTAAAAAGGATTTCTTTACTTATAATATTATTGCTTATCGTATAAATATACATAAATATAAATAAAACCTAATTTAAAAATACTAATATTGAAGATTCGAAATGTGTGTATATTCACACCGGGTGTGATTTTTTTTACACCGGGTATCTCAACAGAATAATACATTGCTTTATCGTGATTCCAAGAAGATTGGTTGAGCTACGGATCATGACGACATCTTCGGAAAATTCATTCGCATGTCACTCTTCAAGTAGTTCGAATCTCTCACTCTGTCTTTTTAAAAATTATTACGACAAAGAGATAGATCAGAGACATTTGACGTGGATTCTTTCTGTCTCTAACACTTGGCGTTAAAGTCGTCTTTTCTCGCTTCGTCGTGAGATGTGACATAAAATCACTTCCAACCTATTCCAATCTATTTCCTTATTTTGCATTATCGTAAATTTTACCATTAATTATACTTTTCTTTATTTTTAATTTTACTTTATAATTTTATTTCAATCTCAATCAATAAAGTAATAATATTACAACTTTACAATTAAGTTTCTAATATCCGTTATAAGCTATAAGAATATTAATACACTCTTTTATATTGTGTTTACTAAGTTCAGTGAAGCTGATTTTTTGCTATTATCGTTGATGCAATAAAGTCATATTATTGTTGTTAAATTTTCGATTCATATATATTTATAGGTCTTTTATGAGATTTTTTAATTTTATCATAATAAATTATAATCTTTATAGTAATTTGATATTCTTAATTCTTTTTTAAATAATAATTATTTTGATATTAATTTTATTATCTCAAATAATATAATTTGTCTACTTTCGTTTATTAACTCGTTCTATTACTCGCTGCTACCGCTCGATATGACAGTCATAAATTTTTAAAGCTTACTGAAAAGTATCAGTTCGCGTCATGTTCAGCCATCCAACTACATTCACTTTTCAGATCTAATTATTGAACCACATTGCATTTTGATTTAATAAATTTTTAGTCTGCTCTTTTCACGTATCGTATAATGTCTACTTAGGACATAACGGACGAATATAACATTAATTTTTCTAAAATATAATTTTTCAGCTACTTTATATTTTACGAAATTCTTATATCGGTTTCGAATACAATCTAATTAACTTTCTATGATAGACTTTTTTATATTAATATTTATCATTATTAACAATATATTAACATTTATATGTGATTTTGTTCAAGATAGTATGTTTTTTAAATAATATATTGATATAGTGTGATTTTATTTAAAAAAATATGCATTTTGAAATAAGAGATTGCCATATAGTATAATGATATGCATCATTACATGCTGAAAGCTCGAATATCAATATGAGTAGAAGTTTCGTCATACATATGAGAAATGATAAACGAATGGCGGATGATCATCGACTATTAAT